ATAAAAAAGCTACGTAAGCAACAGATCTGCAAACCGGCATGTTGTTTGATCATTTTGGCGGCAAATGACGGCATGACATGTTAGGTATTCTCGACTCGATGAAAAAATTTCGATTCAACAAAAAAATCTCGACTCTAGAAAAAAATCTTCGACTGGTTGTCAGAATTCGACATGAAGAAATTGTTCTCGACTCGGCAAAAATATTCTCGACTCAGCAAAAATATTCTCGACTCGAGGTAAAAATTCTCGACTCGATGAAAAAATTCTCGACCTCTTTTGTCCATTATAGCTTGCCATAGTACTTATCGAGTAGGGATCTACTCTTGCAAAACATTTAAGCCTCTTGCCGTTTTTTTTTTCTCTTTTTTTATTTATTTATTTATTCTCAGCACTAAGGGAATCGTAATAACCTCGCAAAGATTGCACGCAATCGCCTTCGATAGCCGCCATGTTGTTTTACCTGGTATGCAAAATAGCGGCAAAGGTAGGGTACCTCTCTTGAGGTACCAGTGGTAAATAAGCTGCTGTAGGATCACGTGACGCATGCAAGACCTCCGCTATTTGGGATTCAAAAATTTCTGGACAGTGAATCCAATAAGCCTGACGACGCCCTGAAAATGTGGCTTCGTAGCACTTATGTTAATTGCTAGTGTTGTTGTGGGAATTAAGGACATGTATCTCCAGTACTTACCAACAGGTAATCCTTTTTCATTGCAGCTGAGCTTGTCTTCGGTTCTTCGAATGTCATTTTCTCGTACTTTATACTCGATGCACGACAAAGCTTTTAATTCTCCATTTGCTGCTGATTCAACAACAGCGCGACGAATTTCCCGTCCCTCTATGTAACTGCCGGGAAAAAAAAGAAAGGAGGAAACGAAATAGAAAATCGTTGAATAGGATTAATTTTTTCAATTGTAAAACGTTCTAAGGCTGCAAAATTACACATAGTCTCTACGCAAAGCGTGTGGTCCCACTCCAATGAATACAAAGGAGGGGTCGAATTATTATGATAGAGTAATCTACAATGTTATAGGAAAGCCCCACAAGTCTGTATTCCTAAAATAGCTTGTTCAAAGTCTAAAGCCTGCTACACTACACTAGTATGGTACACTAGTAAGATTTGCAGCCTCTTGTTTAGTATCCCGCCAAAACTTACTTCGTACCTCAGAGTGACCCGTTGTTTCTTTTTAACAATTCAAGCCAATTTCACAGGAAAAACGTGAACGACCAAGTCGGGATTGGTTTTCGCTTTACCATTTGATTGGTCGAGAAGGTGGTACGATTATTTTTACCAATCACAAAGCATACTGAAGAAAAAAACTAATGTCAACTCGGATTACTTTCGACAAGCAATTAAAATTGCTTTCTTTTAATTCATGCATGTCTCAAACCTCATTGAGAACCATCTGATCTAAGAGCTAACAAGCTTAAGCATTAAGGCTCTTTCAGGAGATGCACAAACTTTTTTCAAAAAAACCTCTGTGAATAAACAGGTTTCCTCGTATTTTGAGTCACTTACAGTCAAATTTACACAAGTACTTTGAATGTTTCCCTGTATTTAAACAAATGCTTTCATCGACAAATCAGATTCATCCGATTTTGGATCCGACTTACAGTTTCCTTCATATAGAGGCTTGACAACAACTTGGCCTATCGGCATATCAATATCATCACGGTCAAAACAGCCAAACCATATTCACTCCTACACGCTTCCTCGACTTCAGCACTTTCTCAACGACAATACTACCTTTCAATGATCACATGGTCTGAATACGATAACGCATGCTCAATAGCTGCGTTAAGTAATTTGGAGTCTTTCACTAATCGCACTGCTTTGGTGTCTTCTCCTTGACTTGCTTTGACAACACATGGATACCTAACTTGTTCAGACTTTAGAGGGTCACCTGTAGCAAAAGAATTCTCAAAGTCAATCCGATTTAAATTACCAATCATTTTTTATTTGTCGGTGGTGAGTTACTAGCGTCAACAAAGCTTCGTAGTCTCATTGTAAAACGGTGTAAAATTAATGCAAATTGATACAATTACTTTTTTAATTCACAGTGGTGCTATCAAGAGAGGGAAGACTTGGTAAGGTGTGAGTCGGGTCCAATTTGAAACTGATCTCTTTTCTATAAGTCCGTTTTTCAACACCTTAAGCTACTCAGTATTGTGTACATTTTTTCGTTAGCCAAATGGTTTATTTTTCATTCGTAGGAAATAGCGGAGCACAGAAGCTTGG